AAGGAATCTATAAATATAAGTTTTATGGGTTTAAAGTGCTGTTTTTATGGCTTAAATTGTCGTAAACTGACAGTAGATTAAAATAAAAATATATAGAGTGACTGATTTTTCTTTAGACCACAGGATAGAAAATTTTGTATAGATTCTATATTGTCAAACTTTTTTGTAATATTTAATGGTTTAAATTGCTGTGGGTAGGTGCGCCTTCACGGGAATTTTAAGTGGATTGAAGGGTTAACTGTGACTTAGGTGCGGGACCCGAAGCTTGTTGTCATGTCAGGTGTGTATTGTCACAGACCCTTCGTGCTCTCTGAAACAAAGATTTACCCACGGTGGCTAACTGCGAAGGATGTTGGTGATAATCACCTTTTAAATATCTGTGGAGTTACTCGCTTCCCTTGAACCTATATAAAACCGCTACGTGCATGAGGATTAAACCACACTCTTATATCACGCCACTACCAGAGAACAATAGGGCGACGTCGATAAGATAAGGCCCCGCGCCTTCGTCAGAGCGCGAAGCGGCCCGTTAACTTACATTGTACTCGTAGTTAATTTCACCTTGTAAATTTATTTGTAGTAAAAGTTGTTTGTTACATCGAAATAACATTACTTCATTCGAGTCAGTTAATTCTTATTCCTATCCTTCATTAGTATTCGTTAGTTAGTAAATATATTCGTAATAATACTTAGTGTGGGCATTGTGGTTAGGTGCTTGAGAGTAATATTGAACCACTTTACGGAGTACACATATCGACCATACCCCACATTATTTGGTGACCTGCCGATAAAGCCGAAGTAACGGTAAATTGAACTACGTATCGTACGACAGCAACGATTTCAGCTTCAAAACAAGGTGGTGATAACAAAAGATAGGGCGTGGTCCAAGACAAACAAGGTGATCGTATCATTATTTTTTTTTAATATTATGCAATGATGGATGAACTGAGTGTAGTCAACGTTACCGATCAGAAAGATTTGACTCCCGCAGAAATTTTGAGAGTTGCTGTTAGAATACCCCAATTCCTGGTTGACGAGCCTGCTTTATGGTTTACACAAATTGAAGCCCATTTCTTATTCTCCGGAATCACGAATGACGAGACAAAATTCTACTACGTAGCCGCGCAACTAGAAACTCCGTACGCTAGGGAAGTTAAGGATATTATTGCTAACCCACATAGAACCGATAAGTATCTAAAATTGAAAACGGTACTAATACTTCGCCTTTCAGTATCGCAGGAGAAGTCCTCCAGTAACTGCTCAACCACGAAGAGCTTGAAGATCGGAAACCGTCGCAGTTCTTATGCCACCTGCAGAATCTAGCCGGAGCATCTGCAGCATTAGACGTTATTAAAACAATGTGGTCGAGTCGTTTACCCATTAATGTACAAACTGTGATTGCTTCTCAGATAACAGACTTATCGTTGGACAATCTTGCTGAACTCGCAGACAGTGTGTAAGAGATTGCGCCGATGAACCCTCAAGTTGCCAGCACCTCTATTAGGACGCCGGAAAACCGTGATAGTATGGCCACCATATGAAACAAAAAATGCACACCATGCAAACATAATACTGTGCACCACATCAGGACCACTCCAGGACCCCCAGTAGTTAGTAAGCCTCGACGCCTGGATCCACTTCGCATGCAAGCTGCGAAGCAGGAGTTCTCGGTCATGCTCGCAAGCTCGAAAGAGACCATCGGTGCCAAAAACTCTGAGTCATTTGTTGCAGCAGGTCAAATCTGATCAACCGCGAAGAGCTTATTTCCCTGAAGGAGTACTTGGGCAGGGCGTTAAGCGGCTGGCCAATCAGGAAGTGGCCCGGGGTTATAACCTCCAAATCATTCGGAACGAACGAGAGGGGACTGAGGGGCCGAAAGTTGAATACCGCCTCAATTTTACAGAATACAGTGGCAAGCTCCTCTAATGTCAAAATAATTGTGCCAATAACGCGACAGAAATGCGTTTTTGCAACCTTACCCACCACCTCAAAAATACCGCCCCAGTGTGGGCAAGCCGGAGGGTCGAATTTCCACTGGCCCTTCTTGGACATCGCAGTACCTAAATATGTCCTGTTGCTGGACAGAAATTTGACGACCTCTTTCAAATATCTATCCGTGCCCTTATAATTCGTTCCGCAATCAGACCGGATCAGGTCCGGTAAACCATGACGCGATACAAAGCGGCCCAGCGTGGCCACAAAGGCTTCAGTGCTGAGGGCACTTACAAGTTCTAAGTGAACGGCCTTAGTGGCGAGGCACACGAAAACGCACAGATAGGCCTTATGTGAACGCGTGTTACGAAGGTTGGAGGACTTGACGAGGAAGGTGCCAGCAAATTCGATTCCAACTCCAGCGAATGGTCAGATGGCCCTGACGCGGTCGGTTGGTAAGTCACCCATCATAGGCTGCGATATGGTGGCCTTCAGTTTATAACAAGGTATGCAAAGAACTCAAAGAGGATACTCCGAGTGGTGCGTCGGACAGCCAAAATCCAAAACTCCCGCTGCAAAATAGCCGAAAGAGCGTTACACCCAGCATGGGCATTCTGGACATGATGGTGAGTTACCAACATTCCCTCCACCATCCCATGGTCCTACCCGCCTTGCGGCATACGGACCGAATCTCGGGAGACGCACACGGTACTTGCTCTCGGCTCTTTCCCGCGTGCGCTTGCTTGACTCCCTACAAATTTCTCTGATCCGTCCCTCTTCCCTACATTGCACTTCTCCCCCTTCTGGGGCATGACTCCACAGTGACGACACTTCGCGTTCAGCAGCTATCTGGTCGTGTTATTTAGTCCTCATATTGTTTGCTCTTGTGATGCTATGCATGCGCAAATTTCCTTAATTCCTTGAAGTTTGATTCGCAGCACTCTAGGTCCCGGAAATAAACTGGTCCTATTGCTGTTCTTTGTATGCTGTCCAATAATGTGTTCCTTTCTTCGACATACAGATCACAATCCCATAATGCATGGTCACGACTCTCCAGTGCAGAGCCACAGGGGCATAAACCGGAGTTCCTAAGGTTGAAATTCAGGAGACGCTCATTGAAGCAGCCGTGACCAACCAGAATCTGCGATACTGCATAATCGGGCTCGATCCACCTGAAGATTAGGCGCTCTGCGATATCTGGGAAAAACTTGTAAAGGTCCCTGCCATCTGGGCTTGAATCCCATCGGTCCTGCCAAATGGCAACGACAGCCGCCATCATCTCCCGCTTTTTCTTCCTGCGCTCCTTGTCGACCAGACCCGTCCCCTCCTCGTCGACTCGTCCCGCGCGAGGAACTTCCAGGTCGGCAGGCAATACGCCCGCCAACACTGGTAACGCTGCGTTGCTAGCCGTCCTGTAAGCCTTCGTGAGAAGAATCAAAGCTGATCTTTGCGTCCTCATCAGTACGCTTCTGATAACGTGGAGGGACGAGCGTCGGTACCATACGGCAGCAGTATATGTCAATGTTGCCACATATGTCCCTGAATACAGGACTCTAAGGGCGTAAAATCTTATGCCCCAGGTCGATGAAGACAATCGCGACATCTTCCCGAAGCAAGCAGCGGCCTTCTCGCCGATATATAATGCATGCTGCACATAGGACCTAGCCTCATCCAAAACTATACCAAGGGCTTTTGCCTATGAAACACTCGTGATCGTAGCACCGTCCATCTTGATAATTGGTCCACATTTAAACTTGCCCTTGTAGATCATCGTTTGCGACTTCCCAGCAGAAAACCCTAGTCTATTACGGACACCCCACTCGGACACGGCAGCGGTCATAGCTGCCACTTTGCGCTCTATTGCGGAACGAGACGATGCTTCGATCACGATCGTCACATCGTCGGCGTAAGCTACAAAGTGTACTCCTTCGGGTTTTGGCAGCTTCAGGAGGTCATCGAGTAGGAGGTTCAACAGGGTTGGTCCCAGCACCAATCCCTGAGGACAGCCTTCCACACTACCCGATTTCCAGCAAACAGTCCTACTCGGCGATTTATGAAGTAACTCGTTAAAATACGGTAAACATTAGATGGAACGCCACATTGCTTTGCCTTGAGTAGGACCATTGAAGGCTTCGAAGGCTCCAGATATGTCCAGAAAGATCAATTGCACGTAGTTCTCGGTTGAACCGCTGGAAATGCGGTTGATGGTGTTAAGCACGGTCAGTGTTGATTGGCCACGTGTAAAGCCATGTTGAGTGTCGGAGACTCCGCGATAGAGACATGGAGCGCAGGAAATAACTACGCGCTCTAAAATTTTTCCCAATACGGGCAACAGGGTTATCGGGCGGTAGGCCTTCGAGTCAGTGAGCGGCCTGTCGCCACCCTTTGGCAAGACAACCAATTTGCCCATCTTCCACAGATTCGGAAAAACGCCCTCGACTATGCACGCCCTGAACATGTGCCAGATCTCGTCGCCAGTAACCCGCCACGCCTGTCTAACAATCTTAGCCGTGATTCCGTCAATGCCGGGTGCAGTGTTCGGCAGCTCTCGAATGATGAGTCCAACTTGTTCCTTGGTTGGTGGAGCAGCATCAGTTCCAGATGGAGCACATGCAGCAGCGATTCGCACTTTTTGATGGTATTCAGTGTCCCGGGCTAGATTATCGTCTGGGCATAAGGCGTTGACGAGACCAAGCATGGTGTCTCCGGTCGTCCTAGTATAGCCGTCGGCTAATTTCATTCCACTAAGCACGTTCAAAGGTGGACTAAATCGTCCACTGGCTGTTCAGTAAGCCAGGCCCCAAGGGTCGGTGTTACCTGACTCCGCAACGGAGCGGAAGAAGGCAAGTTCAGCATCCTTCATGGGTTGCTGAACTTGCCTTCTTGTTCTTGTAACTTGTAGCGTATTCTAACTGCTCGCAGTTGATCATGTAGTGCCTTCTCCCTGTCGCCTCCTGCGCGACGTGAAGCCTGCCACTTGCGACGTGTACAGTAGACCTCATTTCGCATACGGTCAAGAGCTGGAGACCACCATTCGTACCCTCCTTTTTCCTTTTTAGCACGTGTGCCTAGTCGCTCCCTCGCAGTACGAAAGAGTATTGCTGAGTACTGCTCACAGATTTCATTAGTCTGGGCAGCGTTAGCCTCAGCTGGGATATGCGGGCGTGCAGAGTCGAACAGAATCCTCCCCAGTTCACACCACGTTCACGAAAGTAACAGCCGTTGTCTGAAAACTCTGTGCCATCATACATCCGTGAGTCACCAAGGATAACGCCAAACGTTATCAGCTGGTGGTCACTCACACTGACACCCTCATGCACCTTCCAGGCGGCAACCCTCACACTACGTGTGGAGATGGTGATATCCACGTTGGATGAGCCGTTTGGACTATGAAAGGTTGGCGGTTGGCCCTTCACATTATGCACCAGCAAGTTCCGTCCGAGGATGAATCCCTCCATCTGGGACTTGCGATATTCCGTGTCGGGGCCACGACCTGCCCATTGCCTGCGCTCGCAGTGCCACATTAGAGAATGAGTGTTACTGTCCACTCCAATAAGTATTGGGTGACCAGAAAGCTGATCCATCACGTGTGTGAGATGTTGCAGGTGAAGAGAGATGTCATGACTGTACTGGCAGTATAACGATACGACGTACATACTAAGGCTCTGGCAGCTGACATGACCTACAACACAGTGTTCGTTACATAAGTCATGTAGAAGTGTAACTATAAATCGTGAGCTTACTGGTAATAGGTCGGCCTTAGGGTTGGTGCCACACCCTAGCACTCGAGGATGCTGATGTTGCTCCTGGACTAGCACTAGATTCAACCCCAGTTCTCCAGCTATGACAGAAAGCTCAGTGATAGCCACCTTGGAGCCTTGCAAGTTTAGCTGACCTACGCGAAAGGTAATCGTCTTATCCATATTGGGTCATATTAACCGACTGCTGTTCCGCATGCAAACGTGCAGGACAGCTGAGAGCGGCAGTGGTATGGGTGTCAGCGTCTTTCCGCTTGAAGCGCTTGCATGTGGCGCAACACTGTGTAGCCGACTGGCACTCTGCTGCCCAGTCTCGCCACATTTGCCGCACACCATCGATACCGCCCTGCAATGCATCTCCGGATGGCCGTATTGCTGACATTTAGAGCAACATGTCACCCGTACGAAATCGCAGATTTCTGCTTCGTCCCAACCAATAAAGACGCTGCCAAGGCCGACCAATTTATCACGCAACGCAGATGTGCACTCCATCACTACTGTGGTGCGTGGTCCATCTCTGCGGCACTTCTTGAAGGCAACTCTGCAGGACTCGTTGAACTTGTCCTTAGGCCAGTCCGGGTCATCACTCAGATTGATCCTGAACAAGTCCTCTAGGAAGTCAGTGGCTGGTGGGTCCGAGCGCAAATTGCGCGCTGCCACCAGTGGGCGCCTACTTTTCGAGTCGGAAACCTTTAAGGATGGCGGAACCGCTGCCTTCAATTTCTGGGCAGCCTCGACAGTCGCCGTCTGTACCACAATGCCGGAGTTCCCAACTTTCCGTACACTGTGAATTTTTATGCCCTGGGTGCCAGGCTGAACTGCCTTCTGCAACTCGGTTTTGGTCTCATCCGACGAATTGTTATTTTGGATGGGTGGACTGGACACAGAGTGGTGGCTTACCCTTAGGCAGCTTCAATCTGGAGGCATAACTGTCAGCGGAAGAAGTTGAAGAGGCCACACAGGGGATATGAGGGGCAGGAAGGGTCTGGGCTTGAGCAACCGAAAGCTCCAGCTGCGCACACTTAAGCTTCAAGGCCGTTACCTCCTGTTCCTTTTCGCCATACCTTATCTCTAGCGTTGCCACGTACGCTAGGATGTCTTGGCTAAGGCTGACAATGCTGGTCTTATCAGCCAAGTTGAGCTTGTTGCTCGCATTGGCGACAGTTGCGATTCCTTTGAGAGCCGTGTGTACCCTCTCCAGAAGCGCAACCTTGTCCAGCACTGAGATGCCACTGGAGCCATCAGGATAGCTGAACCGCGAAGCATTACCTGAAGTTGAGGCGGGGTCTGGAATAGGCTTTGTTAGTATGCCACTAACTGGCGGATGCACCGACTTCTTCTCTGCAACGCGGCGCCTGACCGCCTCCTGCACGTCCTCGGGTGAGGTTAACACCCTTTTGGCCGTCGGGATAGATGCTGCAGCAGTAAAGGTGCTTTGTTGGACCGGTAGTGTGCTAAACCCTTGCGGGGGGGGTGCGGCGCAGTGAGGTGCGCGGTGTAAAACCAGCCTCTCGCCGCATCTGCTCCAGTTCCTCCAGCTCAGCTTGCTTTTTGGCGAGCTCATCCTCGATGAGCTGCCGCTCCGTACCACCCGTGTCATCCTCTTCCATTTATAAATAAATATCCAAACAACAGACGAAATAAAGAGTCCGGCAACTTGTTCTATCACCGGGAGGGCGACCATCTGTCCCAAGGAGGTGTCGGATTTATCGTCCACAAGTCTCTCGTCAACAACGTTGTAAAGATTGGGAGTGTGTCGACAGGGGTCGCGTACCTGATACTCAGAATCACCAAACGGTATTCGCTGAAGGTCATACAGGTCTACGCACCAACCTCGGCACATCCCGATGAGGAGGTGGAGGAAATGTATGAGGATATTTCTAGAGCCATGCATTCCTCCAAAACCCACTACACGGTGTTGATGGGAGACTTCAACGCAAAACTAGGCACAAGAGAAGGCGGTGAGCTGAAGTTAGGGAAATTTGGAGTAGGACAACGAAACCGTAGGGGCCAGCAGCTGACAGACTTTATAGAGAAAGAGGGACTCTTTATGATGAACTCTTTCTTCCAGAAGCGGCCCCACAGGTAGTGGACCTGGTCGAGTTCCGACGGTTCGACAAAAAATGAGATTGACTTCATTATGACGACCAGACGCCAACTGTTCAGTGATGTCTCAGTGATCGCAAGGGTGAAAACCGGCAGCGATCACCGAATGGTTAGAGGCACACTGAACCTTAACGTTAAGTTGGAGAGGTCTCGTCTAATGAAGTCAACGCTACGTCCCCCTCGTGCTCTGATCCAAAATCCCGAGACTTTTCAGCTCGAGTTACGTAACCGCCTTCAGTGCCTAGAAGATTGCAATGCAGTGGACGATATGAATGACAAGCTCGTGGAAACTGTCCATGCGGTTGGAGCTAAGTTCTGCAAGACCCGCTGCAGCAGAACACAAAAACTCTCCGATCACACTCTTAATTTCATGGCTGTTAGACGGGAGATGAGGCTGCAACCGTCAACAGATTTGACAACATACAGGTAACTGAACAGACAGATCTCCAAATGCATGCGGCGAGACTTACGCGACTTTAATACTGCTCGTATTAAAGAAGCGATCGAGCGGAACCAGGGCTCCAAAGTCTTTGCCAGAGATGCCAGAAAGAGCCAACTGTCAAAGCTGAAGACTGAGTGTGGCAGCATCGTTTTCGGGACACCTGAGATTATGAGTGAGATTGAGAGGTTCTATGGGCAGCTGTACACTTCATCGTTGGAGCCACACGCAAGTGTGAGTAACGATCCAAGAGCAAGTCTTACCCGACACTATTCCGATAATATCCCGGACGTCAGTCTGAGCGAGATTAGAATGGCTCTCCAGCACCTTAAAAACGGCAGGGCCCCAGGCGAGGATGGAATTACAGCGGAGCTTCTGAAAGCGGGTGGAACACCAGTACTTGAAGTCCTTCAGAAGCTCTTCAATTCCGTCCTCCATGGTGGCACTACTCCGGAGGCGAGGAGCAGAAGCGCGGTGGTCTTGTTCTTTAAGAAAGGCTACAACGCTCTCTTGAAAAACTACAGACCGATTTCCCTTCTGAGCCGCGTCTACGTGCTGTTTTTCAGAGTCATTACGAATCGCCTCGCACGCAGACTCGACGACTTCCAGCTTCCCGAACAAGCCGGTTTCTGAAAACGCTTCAGTACCATAGACCACATACGTACCCTGCGGCAGATTGTACAGAAGACCGAAGAGTACAATCTGCCACTTTGCCTGGCGTATGTGGACTATGAGAAAGCCTTTGATTCCGTCGAAATTTGGGCGGTGCTACAGTCCGTTCAGCGGTGCCAAGTTGACTGTCGGTATATCGAAGTGCTAAAGTGTTTCTACAGTAGGGCTACGATGGCTATCCGAGTACAGAACCAGAGTTCGAAACCTATCCAACTGCAGAAAGGTGTAAGACAGGGTGACGTTATATCCCCGAAACTCTTCACCGCTGCGTTGGAAGACGTTTTCAAGCTACTGGACTGGAAAGGATACGGTATTAACATTAATGGCGAGTACATCACTCACCTTCGATTTGCCGATGATATAGTCCTTATGGCAGAATCCCTGGAGGACCTTAGCACTATGCTCAATGACCTCAATGGTTTCTCCCAACGGATAGCTCTTAAGATGAACATGGACAAATCAAAGATCATGTTTAATGTCCATGTTACGCCTATGCCGGTAGTTGTTGGGAGCACTATGCTCGAAGTTGTTGACGACTACGTTTACCTGGGACAAATTGCCCGACTAGGTAAGACCAACTTCGACCGAGAGGTCAATCGACGGATTCAACTCGGCTGGGCAGCGTTCGGGAAATTACGACATGTCTTTTCGTCAATTATGTCTCAATCTCTGAAAACTAAAGTGTACAACCAGTGCGTTTTGCCAGTGATGACTTACGAATCAGAGACGTGGTCCTTCACTGCTGGCCATGTGAGGACGCTCAAGGTCGGTCAGCGAGCTATGGAGAGGGCTATGCTCGGAGTTTCTCTGCGTGATATACTCAGAAGTGAGGATATCCGCAGTAAAACCAGGGTTACCGACATAGCCCAACGGATTAGTAAGCTTAAGTGGCAATTGGCCGGCCATATAGCTCGAAGAACCGATAACCAATGGGGAATAAAAGTTCTCGAGTGGCAGCCTCGTACCGGTACGCGTAGTGTAGGGCGACCCCCCACTAGATGGAGTGATGACCTGTTAAGACATGCAGGAAGTCGATGGATGCAGGTGGCTCAGGACCGTGCTTTGTGACATTTCTTGGGGGAGGCCTATGTTCAGCAGTGGACTTGTGAAGGGCTGTAATGATGACGATGATGATGACGACTGGATATGCGATGTGCGGACGTAGTCTGGCCCGGTTCCTAAGCAGCGGGAGATTTAGTAGCTGCCAAACGTATTCGTCCGCAATTCGCCGGACGTTGGCGTACCTTCCTGCGAGGAGGTCCCAGGCAGCCTTGTAGGTGTCGTCTGACAATTTCAAATGGCCCACAACGCCCAGGGCCTCCCCCTCCAGTGAGGCCATGAGGTACGCCATCTTCTGTATTGGTCTCAAGTCCCTCCGGGCGTCCACTAGGCTATCAAAAAGGCCAACAAAGGTCAGCTAGTCGGAGAGGACCCCGGAAAACATTGGCAGGTCCAGAGTTGGGAGTCATCCCAACAGCTCCGGCTGAGTAGGCTGCTTCCGAGGGGACTCGGGCAGGCCACTCAGCCGAGCTTCACGCGCTTCATTAGCATACTTGGCCCCCGCCTCGATCAAGTCGTCCGTGAGCGAAAAGAATTGCTCGTAGTCCGCGAGGCAGGAGTCTAGGACTCCCTGTTCCGCATCCGAGGCCAAAAGCTCAGTGCAAGCTTCCTCCACTATGGCCCTTCGGGCCATTACCTGCTCGAGCCGCATCTCTAAACTATGGACCCGATCGGGTCGTCCTATCAAGGTATGGGCATTCGCGGCCCAGCGCAACTCCGCCTGCAGGCGAAATGCTGGTGGCTTGTGCGATGGCATCACTACTAAATACAAATTACTGTTAAATTAAATTAAATACAGTTACACTACACGGCAAGTACACACTACAGTCGGTCAGCCAAAAATGCCTCGCTCGGGAGACCGATCCTTCGGCAATTTAATGTACTTACCCAAAATACCTGACGCGTTGGTACCTAGCCCTAAACTACACTCCTGCTTTCGCAGCCTAACGGGCGTGGTTCTAACCACCGATCCGCTAAAAAAAACAAAAAAATATTATATTACGGCTGGGCGTGATTGGAGAAACAATCAATCACGCTCTGCTACCAGCAACTGTTACGGCCCTCAGTTGCCCCGAAAGAAGTCGATTGGAATAGGGACCATCAGTAACCCAACTCGACGTGCAACCAGAGGGTTTGGGCCCAATTGCCTATGGATAATTATTATGTAATGGCTGGATCAGCAAACACAAACTTATCGAGTTCCGAGTTGGTAGGGTCGACCACAAGGTACCGTCAGGGGCAAGTAAATGGTAGATGTGAGTGGTGTAAGAAGGTGTGTAATGTAACCTGACGTCACCGATGTAATCAGCTTAACGTCGCTTAGCATAAAACTATAATCGAAGAAGAACGCGATCTCCTCCCGGGTCACAAAGTTTTAGGGTTGCACCCGACAAAGCAAAAATTCCTTCGTACGATGTTTAAATACCACACAAGCAACTCCTCGACGCAAATACGCAAATTATTGGCAATCGAAGTTAAATTAATCACTCAAACTCAAGGAAAGTCTCGTTGTCACGTATACGAACAAAATAAGACAACGCAAAGGGTGTGGTCCTAACGGGACCTATCGATTCTAACGTAACTTCCCGACATCTAACCGACACGGCCGTCGCGGACAATTGATTATTCCAGACTAATTGAGAGGGCCGCAGCCCGCAAAACGAATGCCCGTCGGCCCAAACCGTCAAACAGGTTTATCGCCCGAGACGAGCGTTTTCGCAAGTTTTAAGTTATTACGATTTGGCCTAAACAGATATGTATGGCCAAGGATACGTAAAGATTGTAGAGAGTGGTCCCGACAAAACTTGTCATGCCAAAAGAACAAAATCACCCGTCATACCATATCCCTAACTTCATCTTTCCTCACTCCTTCGTCGAGATTTTCCCACATCCACCTCTACATCGTAGGGTCCCTAACTCTGTCTTCTGGTTATAGATATTGCCTTATCGTCATCGACCGATTCACGCAATGGCCTGAGGCATACCCCATGGTGGACATTACGGCGGAGACAGTTGCTCTAGTATCCGGCTGGATAACCCGATTCGGCTGTCCTGCACTGGTGACTACATACCGCGGACGCCAGTTCGAGAGTCATCTCTTCAAAGCTCTCACCAAGTTGGTTTCTGCGCGTCACCTGCGTACAACCGCCTATCACCCAGCTGCGAACGGCATCATCGAGCGACTTCATCGTCAACTTAAGGCGGCAATCATGTGCCACACATCATCGCAGTGGACAAAAGCCCTTCCACTGGTTCTATTGGGCATGCACAACTCGTGGAAAGAGGATCTACAAGCTACGCCTGCTGAATTGGTATATGGTCAA